TTCCATACTTGGACCATCTTTTTAATAATGGATATAATAATATATTAATAATATATAAATACATATAAAATTGCATATGCAATAGTTTTAGACTTTTAGAAATCTAGTAAAATAGACATACTGCCCTAATTCAAATTAGTAATAAGAAAATTTTAGTTCATGATCATATTTTTGCATATCAGGTCCCATATTATGCTGACAGCAAATCTATAAAATTTCCCACCTTGGTGAGAGTTTAGACTATGAAATTTTGCTAGTAATACTTCCAGGGCCCAAGGTTTTAGTAGACTAATGATGGATTTGTTGGTCACTAGCCATTTACAAGGATATAGTACTATGTTAATGTATTCAAGGTATTTTTGAAAACTGGGTAAAACTGTTTAGATACTATCTCCTTCTAATATTCTATTAACATAAACCTTAAAAGCAAAGATCAGTTAGGCCATTTATAACCTAAACACCTTTTTTTGTAGCATTGAACAATCTATATATATAAAAGGCTAATATGCTAAGTGTCCAACCATCCGACTGGTAGCTATGATGTGCACTGACCACCAGGGGGCACTCAATGCAGGAGCTGCCAAGCTGCAGTGACTTGACAGCTGTGGTTCTTGGGTGACGCACCCCAAAACCAGAGAGGAGGGAGCCCAATTCCTTGTAGGGCCGTGCGATTCCACCTTTGGCTGTGGGTTACATTGTTGCTGAGGCACTGTGGGCCCAGAATCTGGTTTACTGCACACTTGCATTTGCGTTCCACACCCTGTATGACAGCAACTTTGCAGAGTGCCCTCTCACACTCCGGGACCCCTCAGGGGATGTCGGAGAGCTGGTTTTGGCCTGATCCCCATAGGCCAGGCCGAGGGACCCCACCTGCCAGAGGGACCCTGCTCACTCTGAAGACGCCCTTTGAGCCATGGCACCACCTCAGGTGCGGCTGGCCGGGGAGGGACCACGGGAGGTTGGCTCCAGGCCATGTCCAGCCCATCTCACCCAGTCCTGCCCAGCCAGCCACCTTCTAATTAATTTCCTTTCAATGTGCATGAATCCACGCACCAGGTCACTAATATATATATATATTTTCACTTTTAATCAGTGTTCTACTAAATGATCACAACTTTCAATTTCTCCTGAATAACATCCACCCCGCCCCGATCCAGGAAAAAATTCCCCCTATAGTGATAGATGCATAGCAGACTTAAACAGCATTGCCATATATGATATCTTATACAAATGCTGCTAATAATGAAATAGGAAAGCTCTTGGAGCATTCAAGTAAAACTGAGTGGCATTACCATCAAAAAATTTGTACATTTAGACGATTTATATAGTATTGGGGAACATAGAAAGTAAATATGAGGAAATACCCTGCAGGGCTCAGTAACACTGGAGGTGGGTTGGCCATCATCAAAGGAAAATTTAAGTGTATAACCTCCCTCCAATGTGAGCTCCTCTTCTTCAGATGGGTTCTGCCTTGGACAAGTCATGTGACCTTATCTTATGAATCCTTTAAACTTCACTGATAAAATGGGGCAATTTGTGCCAAATAATTTCTGATTTCTTCCATCTTAAATGCTCTGTCTGTTTCCTCATTTATAAAATGGGATAATATAATAATGGCACCTAACACGAGGCACTGCTATGAGAATTATAAAAGGCAAAGATATAATACATGTATCATGGTGCCAATACAGAGGAAATACTCAACAAAATGAAGCTATTGTTATTGTTTTCAGCTCAATCAGTCCAAGAAATTGCAAACATTGGCTTTTCTCAGTCTTCATTTTCTTGATCTAACTCTCAGAAGTCAACTACTTTATAAAGTTTTAACTTGCACTGGTCTCCTTGTCTTAACAAGCCTTAACACTCCTCCTTCTTCTCAGGCAAATGATGCTCAATCCCTTCCATGGCCTTCACTTCCTCCTCCTCTTCTGCACCTTCTTGGGCAGATCCTCAAGGCTCAAGTCTTCTTGCTCAGCCCTTCTTACTTTGAATTTTCTATCAGAATTCTCAGTCTCTTTCATGGCTTACAAAACAGGGTGTTAAATCTTCACTACTTTCCCAAAATTTAATCTTGTAACTCTAGCTGCCCCAAAGCCATCCACATTTGAATGGTTTTCCTTTTGTCTTACTATGCCTAAAGCATAATATGTTATTGTATATAAAATTAGTGAAAAATCATATATTCCATTGTAATGGAGTATTACTCAGCAATAAAAAAGAATGACATCTTGCCATTTGTGACATAATGGATAGACCTAGAGGGTGTTATGCTGAGTGAAATAAGTCAGACAGAGAAAGACAAATGCCATATGATTTCACTCAAATGTGGACTCTAAAAAACACGCACCAAAGCAAATGAATAAGCAAGACAGAACAGAAACGGACCCATAATTATAGAGCTGATGGTTGCCAAAGGGAATGGGGAGATGGGAATAAAAAAAACACACAACTATCCATAACTCTACCAGCCTAACCCAAAACTAATGATTTAGTTGTAGTTCTTCTTAGTCTTTCCCATTGCATATGTTTTGTGCCATTGTAATAACAGCTTGCAATTCTAATTGTATCTTGCTTTCAATTCTAATTATTCCATAATGATTTTCCATGTTGCAAAAGCTTTCATAATAGATTATTGTTTTACTATTATCTCTGTTTCTAGTAACTCTCTCTTCCAGTTCATTCTACATACCTGGCTAACTTTAATCTTATTCACAGCATGGCTTTACGCATCTTTCATGTGCTGAAGAACCTTGTGTGGTTCGTTATTGTTCAAAAAATGAAGCCCAGGCACCTTAGTTAAGGTCAAATGCCCCACTCAAACAGTAGCCTATCCTTTCCAGCCCCATGCCTCTCCTTCAGTCATGCTGTATGACTTGTGATTCCATACACAAAGTGATAATAGCCCCAGCACCTTCCTTCAAGCCATTCTGTCTACCTATAATGCTCACTTTCCCTTTGAACCTTTTTCTTTTTCATTTTTCCCCACTCACAATTTCTATTTTTAAAATTCAGTTTAATTTTATTCCATCATCTCTTATCCCTCTGTGCCCTCTACCACCTCCACCCATCATCACCATCACCGCACTGTTGTCCCTTTGACTCTTTGGCTCAGGAGCTATTTCCTTCCCCAGAGAAACTCCCCTAGCTGCCCCACTCATCATGGTTATGCTCTTTTCTCAGTTGAACATTTTCTACTTGTTGCCTGAACCACTTGTTGGCCAAGTTCTAAGCCCATATCTTGTACCTCTCTGTGTCCTCGTGGCTCAGCACAAAGAACATGCTCAAGAAACATTTATTAATGATGATTATGATGCCCACTGTCAGCACAGCTGTTCTGCTTTCTGCAATAATGAGGAAAGTAATATGGGAGCACTAGGGAGGAAATTCCCTCTAGTCCTCCTTAAATACTGCCAAAAGTCCTAAGAAATTTACATACATTCTATTCCAATAGCAAAGACATAATCAAAGTTTGGAAAAAAGGAAGTAAGGAAGAAAATGATCAAGGATTATTTTGCATTTTCACCTAATCTGTTTTATGATATAGCAAGATAAATGTGAAACATCCGCCCTAACTGGTTTTGCTCAGTGGATAGAGCATCAGCCTACGGACTCAAGGGTCTCAGGTTCAATTCCAGTCAAAGGCATGTACCTTGGTTGCAGGCACATCCCCAGTAGGGAGTGTGCAGGAGGCAGCTGATCAATGTTTCACTCTCATCAATGTTTCTAACTCTATCCCTCTCCCTTCCTCTCTGTAAAAAAATCAATAAAATATATTTTTTTAAAAATGTGAAACATCCTATATAATAAAAGCGGAATATGCAAATAGACCGAATGGCAGAACAACCAGTTGGTGGGGGATGGGGCTGGCGAGCAGGCAGCGCCAGGCCAGCCAAGACACATGCCAGCGGGCAGAGGGAGGGAATGGCGATGGTAGGCTGGGGGCAGTGACCAGTGGTGGCGGAGGGGCGATGGGGGGAGCTGGCACCATCCCCTGATCACCTGTCTGGTCGCCTTCCGCAGAGGGGGCCTGCGGCAGCTGTGGCAGGGTGATGTCAGTGGCGCTGTCCCGATTGGCCCAGAGGTGGCAGCGGCAGAATGATGGGGGCAGCGCTGTCCCCTGATCACCCGCCTGGTCGCCTCCTGCTGAGGAAGGCCGGACTGCAGCTTAGGACAGTAGGCCATCCCCTGAGGACTCCTGGACTATGAGAGGGCTCAGGCCAGGCTGAGGGACCCCACTCTCCCAGTGCACGGATTTTCATGCACCGAGCCTCTAGTCTCTATTATAAAATGTCTTGAGACTCATAACTCAAACAGTGGGTAAAAGAACAGTCTAAATGAGAACCTTCGGCTTTGTAAGTCAAGTCAATGTACTTCAGTCATATCATAAAGAGTATGGTATGATGGTTAAAAGCTTGGGCTCTCAAGCGGTGCTGCCTAGCATACAGTTTTAACCCTACCAACTACTGGCTATGTGATCATGAAAAATTTACATAACTTTTCTGTGTTCCAGTTTCCCCAACCTGTGAAAGGAGGACAGTAGCAGTGATATTCTAGAAAATATTTAACAACTGGCTCTCCTTTTCAAAGCCCTGATTTGTATCATATGTCGGTATCTATGGTGTAAATACTCCCACAATGGCTGATTTCAAGCTACCAACAGGCTCACAAAATGCAAGCCAATTTGATAATGGATTCTGACAGGGTACCTTACTTGTAGGGTTGTTGTGAAGATTAAATAAGTTAACACATGCAAAACACTTAGAACTGGCCCTGGAGCATCATATACTTAGTTTGATGAATATTAGCTATTTTTTATACCATTTTAGTTTGTCTTCTAAAATGGAGGATAGAAATAGCAAGTACTATTGAAAAAAAGCAGTTGCCTTGATTTTAATTCATTGCAACCTCTTCCTAAAGATAGGTTTTATGTTTACTATCGCCAAGCAGCCTCATCAACTTTTTAAAAAATTTCCTTGCCTTTTCCTTAATTCATCTTTTTTAGGAGCATTCTAAGAATCAGAAGACTGGTTAAAAGCCATATACCAGTAAAGAAAAGAGGTTATAAAAAGTAAGTATAAACCCAACTGAAAAATTTTCCTTGAAAACTCATCTTAAGAAAGGCTAAGTACTTAAATAAGTAGATATGAAAGTTTATTTGGATGCAATAACTTACTGCCTGTTAATGGGAAGGAATATGAATTGTATTCCATCAAAATAATGTTACTCCCTGGTGTTCTTCCTCACACAAAAATAAATAAGAATTTAGATTTTAAAATACCCCAAAATACATGACTCTGAACAGTATGACTTTCTGCTTTTTGACTTCTGTGGGTATTTCTATGACTTTCATTTATAAAATTTGCTGGGTATTTCATTAGAACTAACACTCGGGCAATAAATATTTGCTACATATACAAAACAGATCGGCTTCAAACTATAAACCAAAAGATGACCAGCCAACAGCCCTGTTCATCAGCTGCGACTCCCAGACCCCAGCGTTTTTCTCTAGGATGTCTTATTTTTTGCTCAGCTGTTTTGTTACTCTCTTGATTACAACTTTTTTTATTTTATTTTATTGCTTAAAGTATTACAAAGGGTATTACATATGTGTCCATTCCCCCCCCCCCCCCCGCCCTAGACAGTCCCCTAGCCTCCCCTATCCCCCATCGATTACAACTTCTGAATCACTCATTTGCTTCTCCCATGCATAGGATGGTTTTTAATTTTACTTTTGCAAATTTTATTTCCTTTTTAGTCATTTTCTCCATTGTTCCTTTCCTCCTGTTGCTATTCATTTGTTATTTCTCTCCCGAATGCTCTGCCTAAAGTCAGCTTCAACAGAGGAAATCTTCAACTGATAAAGAGCCTACTTTCGCTGTTGGAGGAACGCAGGAAACAGCCAAACATTGAGGCTACAATCCATGTAAGTGCCCACTTGAATGGTTCCTATTTTGAGAAAATGGTTCCTATTTTGAGAAAATGGAAGTTGAGCATATTGGTTGGGTCGATTTCTGGGCTCTCTATTCTATTCCATTGATCTATATGTCTGTTCTTGTGCCAGTACCAGGCAGTTTTGAGAACAGTGGCTTTGTAATACAGCTTGATATCCGGTATTGAGATCCCACCTACTTTGTTGTTCTTTCTCAGGATCGCTGCAGCTATTCGGGGTATTTTTATAGAAAAGCCACTGGAAATGGCTTGGGTGGGGCAAGATCTCAGGGAATCACCAGGGTGGAGCAGTGTGAACCAGGTTAATGGAGACTTAGATATGGTGTCTGCCTGCTGGTTCTGTGGTGGGGGTGTCTCAGAAAAGAAATAATAGCCTCTACCAGCACTTTTGTCTGTCAGAAAGCTGACAGCTGACACCCACCCCCAGCTCTCACTCTAATGCCAGACAATTCAGTTGCTCCCTGTATGCTCCTGGTTCCTTTCAAGCTGCTGCCCCAGTGCACTGGAGCTCAGAGGGAGTGAGCCTGAGTAAGCCCAAGCACGGGCCCTTTAAGAGGAGCTGCCTGGGACTCCCACAGCCTCTGTGTCACTCAGCCACAATCCCCACTGGTTTTTATAGCCAGAAGTTATAAAGGATTTATCTTCCCGGTTCTGGAATCCTGGGCTGGGTGGCCTGTTGTGGAGCTGGAACCCCCTTGCTCTTCAGGAGGGACCTTTGCAGCTGAGATATCCCTCACAATTTTGATTCACCATAAATGAGTGTGGGACCAGCCCGTTCCATGTCTCCCCACCCCTCCTACCAGTCTCCATAAGGCTTCTTTAAATCCCTAGTTGTAGGACTTCCATTCAGCTAGATTTCAGGCGGTTCTGAATGATCATTATTCTGAAGTTATTTGTAATTTTTATGTAGTTGTAAACGGGTTCAAATACTACATTTACCTAAGTTACAATCTTGACCAGAAGTTCAAGTTCCATTTGAATGTACCATCAGCTTCTTGCTGGGATCCTTGACTGCTAATATAATTGTCCTTTAACACAGTGTTTGGGAAATCCCTAGGAGATAGGGTAACAATTTTTACTGGCCTTTTTCCTTGGCCTTAGTAATGAAAAAGTGAGTGAATGCTTAAAATATAATCTGTAGTTAATTATTGATGGGATAATGTTTCTTTTCTTAGTATTCACTCTCCTCTGGTAAGCCCAGATCTCCAATTAACTATAAACAAAATTATGAAACTACTTTATGAATTAAGTTTTGAGCATCTTAAGTTTGAGATGCCTGAGGGAGATCTAGTAATAATAGTTTCTAAGTGTTCATAGATGAAATTGTTTGCCACTGGAGACAGTGAGTTCCACATTGTAGGAGTGTCCAAGCAGAAGCTGGAAAATCAATGGATTTGTTGTTGAACTTGCTGATTTAAGGATCTTTTCCAATGTGTACTTTTAAGATTCTTTGCTTTATGTTATATGGTCTATCACCATAATATTGATTATGAAGATGTTGACAATTAAGTTAGATATTTTACTATAACACATGGTGCACATACAATATGCATACAGACTCTTAAGCCCCAAAATCTTAGAGAAAATTTATCTTCAGTACAACATGATGAAAATCCTGGTCTTTGGAGACAGATAAACCTCTGCTTCAATCCTAGGTCTCAGTGAAAAATCTATGTGTCTTATGGAAGTGACCTAATGTCTCTGTATCTCAGTTTTCTTACATCTTTCTCATAGCGACCGGGTAGAAATTCAGGAAAATAACACATAAGACAAATTTAGGTTCCCCAAAATGTTAGTTCTCTTTGATTTATCATCATCATTAAAATGTTCTTTCTGCTATATCAATTTGCAGCGCAAAGGTAAATAAAAATGCACTTAAGAATTCTTTTTAAAACTCATAGCTAACATCAGACTCAATAGTTAAAATGTGAAAGTGTTTTCTCTAAGATCAGGAACAAGACAAGGATGCCTATACTCACCACTGTTATTCAACATAGCATTGGAAGGTATAACCAGAGCAATATGGCAAGAAAAGAAAAATAGAAAGCATCCAAATTGGAAAAAAAGAAGTAAAACTGTCCATATTTTCCAATAACATGATGTTATATATAGAAAACTCTAAAGACTTCACCAGGAACTGTTAGAAATAAACAAATTCAGTAAAATTGCAGGATACAGAATCAATATACAAAAACCTGGTGCATTTTTACACACCAACAATGAACTATCATAAAGAGAAATTAAGAAAACAATCCCATTTACAACTGCATCAATGAGAATAAAATACCTAAAAATAAATTTAACCAAAAAGATGAAAGCCCTATATATTGAAAACTATAAGACATCCATGAAAAGAATTGATGAAGATATAAATAAATGGAAAGACATTTTATGCTTATGAATTGGAAGAATTAATAATGTTAAAATGCTTACACTACCCAAAGCAATCTACAGATTCAATGCAATCTTTACAATATTCAAAGCCATTTTTCATAAAAATAGAACAATCCTAAAATTTGTATGGAATCACAAATGACCCTAAATTGACAAAGCAATTTTGAAAAAAAAAGTTGAAGGCATCATACTCCCTGACCTAATACTATACTACAAATCTATAGTGATCAAAATAGTATGATATTGGCATAAAAACAGACACATAGATCAATGTAACGGAACAGAGAGCCCAGAAATAAACCCATACTTTATATGGTCAATTAATCTATGACAAAGAAGGTAAAAATATATAATGGGGTAAAGACAGACTCTTCAATAAATGGTTCTGGGAAGACTGGCTAGTCACATGTGAAAGTATGAAACTAGACTACTATCTTACACAGCCCACAAAAATTAACTGAAATGGTTTAAGACTTGAATGTAAGACCCGAAACCATACACTTTCTAGAAAAGAAAGGAGGCAGTAAGCTCCTTGTTATAGGTCTTGGCAATGAATTTTGGCTCTGACTCCAAAAACAAAGGCAACAAAATAAAAAATAAACAAGTAGAACTACATCAAATGGAAAAGCTTCTGTACAGCAAAGGAAATAATAAACAAAATTCAAAGGCAAACTATTAAACAGGAGAAAATATTTGAAATTATATATCTGATAAAGGGCTAATATCCAAAGTATATAGAGAACTCATTCAACTCAAGAGCAAAAAGTTAAAATAAAAATTGACTTAAAAATGAGCAAAGAACCTGAATAGATATTTTTCAAAAGAAGACATACAGATAGCCAACAGACACATAAAAGATGCTCAGTATCACTGATCAGGGAAATACAAACCACAATGAGATATCACCTCACACCTGTTAGGATGGCTGTCATCAAAAAAGACAAGAAATAACAAGTACTGCAAAGATGTGGAGAAAAGGGGACCTTCATTCATTGCTGGTGGGAATATAAATTGGTGCAGTCACTGTGGAAAACAATATTGAAGTTCCTCAAAATGTTAAAAATACAGCTACTATATGATCCAGCAATTCCACTTCTGGGTATTTATCCGAAGACAACCAAAAACAATAATTCAAAAATACATATGTACTTCCATGTTCATTACATGATTATTTACAATAAAAAGATATGAAAACAACTTAAGTGCCAATCAACAGATGAATAAGGAAGATGCAGTATATATCAGTGTGTGTGTATGTGTGTGTGTGTGTGTGTGTGTGTGTAATAGAATACTATTCAGATATATATATGTATATATAGATATATATGTATTTATATATAATAGAATACTTTTATATATACTATTTATATATAAAAGGGCCCAGCCGGTTTGGCTTAGTGGACAGAGCGTTGGGTGAGGATTACCAAAAGAAAAAAATAAAGGAATTTTGCTACTTGGGACAAAGTGGATGGATCTCCTTGAGGACATTATTCTAAGTGAAATAAGTCAGATAAAAACAAATACCCTACAATTTCGCTTAAATGTGGAATTTAAAACAAACAAACAAGCCATGCTCATAGATACAGAGAACAAACTGGTGGTTGCCAGAGTTAAGGGGGAGGGGTAAAATGTGTAAAAGGGATCAAAAGATACAAACTTGCAGTTAGAAAATAAATGCGGTGGGGATGTGATGTACAGCATGTGACTATAGTTAATAATGCTGAATTGTATATTTGAAAGTTGCTAAGAGAATAGATTTTAAAACTTCTCATCACAAGAAAAACACATTTGTAACTATGTATTGTATGCATGGTAACTAGACTTACTGTGAGGAACATTTTGAAGTGTATACAAATATTGAATCATTAAGTGATACACTTGAAACTAACATAATGTTACTTATACCTCAATATAAAAATAATTATTTTTTAAAGTTGAAAATGGCCATCAAAGTAAAGATCAACACATTTGCTTTAGCATCCCACAACATTGAGGGCACAGTGTTATATGCTATAAAGAATACATTATATAAAAATCTTCCCTGAAAGAGCTGATATTTTAAAATAATAGTAAATAAATTCCATTCATACTGTGCTTTTCACCTTACAGCCATTTTGCTTGGTGCCTCACAACAATGCTATAAGCCAGGCACTATTATCTCCAGTTATAAAGGAAGGAATGTGAAAAGGGCAGAAATCATAATCCTAGAGGAAGTGGTCTTTTCACAGATTCATTCAGACATCTTACTTGGTCAAGGAAACAATATTGAAAAATAAAAAACATGAAAAAATTAAAAAATTGAACGACACATGGCAGCATGGATATTCTCCGTGAGTTAAGTTAAATCATCTCCAAGTACAACTAGGAATTTCAGGAGCAAGAAAGCCTTGGGCTGGGGGAGTGGGGCTATTGGAGAAACATGTAGCCTTGGGGTTTAGAGCACAGGCTCAGAGAACTTGGTCAAATCCTGGCTCTTTCACACCCAAATGGTGCTGGTGGCCCTTTGTGTTAGCCTTTTCTGTACCTCAGTTTCCTCATCTGTAAAATGGAGGTATAACAGAACCTACCTGGGGAATTTTG